TTCTCATGTCAATGTTTTTACGGTTTTCTTTGATTATACTCTTATAGATCATCCTCTCAGGCCAATATTTCGTTAAATAATCACGTACAGTATGCAAACACAAGACCACCAACGACGTTCACCGAAGCGTCAAGACACTTTCGACCTTCGTGACCAAATTATGGCCGACGACCACACAGCATCCGCACATATGCATGCTCATGCAGATGCAACCAATGCTTATGCGGGCGCTTCTGACGAAGAGCATTCCGTTCTAGAAGATGACTCTGATGGTGAAGAGCGCGAGATAGAGTACATGGACGAAGACGACGACCGTTCGTCTTCACTTTCTATTCCAAATGAATCTATCGACTTTGATTTGGTCTACTCGCTGCACAGCTTCGCTGCGACCGTCGAAGGTCAAGCCAGCGTCGTAAAAGGTGATAGCTTGTTCCTTATGGACGACAGTAACAGTTATTGGTGGCTTGTCCGTGTGCTCAAGACACAGGACGTCGGATATATTCCCGCAGAGAATATTGAGACGCCCTTTGAACGTCTAGCAAGGTTGAACAAGCACAGGAATGTGGACGTGAGTCCCGTACCATTCAACAATTTCAAACTCGTGACTTTCCTTCTCAGCTTGCACATGCGACCCCACAAGAACTCCAAGAAGACGTCGAACGCGTGCGGAACAACCTTTCTTCTCGCGCTGGCTCGCACCACTCCCCTTCTCCTACCCCTGGTTTCCCACCCACAGGTGCTGGGCAGGGCAGAGGCGTCACATTTACAACTGCACGGTCCGTACACCGATACCCGCCTGCTGTCTGGCATGAAGAAGAGGAAGAAGAAGAGGACATAGAGTGGGATGATGGCGCATATGAGGAAGAAGATCCGGACCTTGCAGAAGAATTGCTTGTTCGACAGCGACAAGGTCAGACGGACCGTGATGAGCAGCAGGATTCTATGGGCATGCAGATGGAACCGGACGATGGAATGAGCTGGGATGATAGCGTTGCAGAAGACATGCAAGCACAGAACGCGCAGAAGAAGATAGAGCAACAGATGCTTGTGACACCTGATCGCTTTGCGACCTAGTGGTACACCCGAGAGACAACAGGTGCAGATCCAGGTGCAACAGCAGCCAGAGATAATAATCACTGAACAGAGGCAACAGCAGGAGGAGCAACAGGTGCTTGCTCAACAAGCTTTACGCCATCAATCTTCACGCGATCGCATCACTGTTGATGTCCGTTCGTCTTCACCGTCCTCATCTAGTAAGAGCATTGATCCCGCGGAGGTAACCGAGACAAGAAAACTCTCCGTGACGCCTTCAATTGCTCGCGATGAGCCAGTCAAACAAGCTCCAGCACCAAGCGGTCCCCTTCTTCCGAGCGCAATCATGCAGAAGCAGGAGATCGAGCGGCAACGTACCCGCGAGGAAATTGAAGTGCTTGAAGAAGCCTCGAAAAAGAAGCTCAAGAATAAAGACAAACCTCTCCAGCCTGTCTCGAATACCCCAGTCCAGAAGCCTGTGCAGGCGTCTGGTAAGCTTCGCAAAGAGCAACGTGACACGACAGATGATGAAGCAAAGGAGAAAAAGGAGAAAAAGAAAGGAGGCGTGTTCGGACTCTTTGGCCGCAAGAAGGATAAAGGGAAAGATAAAAGTTCCATCGAGACCGCTTCCAATGAAACTCGTGAGTCCCAAGAATCAGGACGGTCCTCCAGCAACATTCACGGACCCACACCTGAACCTCCAATGTCTCCTGTCACTGCATCAGCCATACAACAACAACAGCAAGTTCTTCGCACGTCAAACGAATCGAGGACGCCAACGAGACTTCAGTCACAGCAGGCACCTCAGACACCGCCACAACAAGTACAGGCTCAGGTATCGCAGCATGCTTCACAGCTACGCCAGCGTGATCAGCAACAACAGGCACTGTATCAGCAATATCTCAATCGTTCGCCGTCATCGCCACCGGAAGCGCCTTCATACGGGTTACAATCGGCTTCCGCTGTGTTGTCAAGCTCGAGTTCGTATAGTACTTCTACTAGCTCTCCCGCTGGGCTTGGGCTGGGCTTGCCCTCCTCTAGACCACGGCCAGGCTCTATCGTTCTTTCGCCCACTGCTGACGGACAAGGCGTTGGCGTACCTGAGCTCAGTGTCATCCGTGTATTTGCAGGCAAACACTTGCAGACTGAGGCGACTTTCAAGACTGTTCTTCTCAACGCATCTACTACTTCAGCCGACCTCGTTCGTCAAGCTATTCAACGCTTCCGTCTTCCCGCTGGCGAAGACGGAGCAGACTACTACCTCACTATCAAACAGGTCGAGGGTTCATCTGCGGTTCTGCTCCCGGAAGAAAAGCCTCTCGGAGTCTTCGAGTCGCTCGTAGAGGCTGCTATGGAATTACCAAAAGTCAAGCGGAGCAGTGTGGGCAGTATCAGTTCCGTCTCAAGTAACCTCTCCATGCATCCCGCCATAAAGAAGTTATCCATGAATGACTTCAGCGACGACTCCGTTGTCAAATTTTACCTCAATAGACGCCGTGATAATGCAGATGACAGCGCCACGACAGAAGAAGGCGACGAGACAGTGCAGGCTGACACGTCTCACGACGTAGCCTGAGGGTCTTAACACCTCAGCGAACGGTGTCAACGTCACTCCTGATCGTTTCAGCTCTCCCTCGTACCGCTTCACGTTGCAGCTTGTTATCCACCCCGAGGACCTGCCCGAAGATATGGTCTTCGACCCAGTCACCGAAGCTATCGTATTCAAGAACACACTGCGCGATAGAACCCATTCTACATCATCAATTTCTTCTGGTATATCACAGGGTCAGCGCCGCAAAGTCTTCACCTTCCCGAAGAATGTCACCGTTGCTGAAGTGACTGAGCTGGGTCTTGAGCGCTTTGGCATCTTGGAAGGCGTCGTTGATGGTGGTGACGAAGTTGAAGATAAGATGACGAAGAGGCGAAGTGTCAGCAAAGTCCGATATGGTCTCACAGCTGATGTTGGAGGGCAAGGTAAGGATACACTTAGCATAAATGGATTTGAGTGCTGACTTCGTTGGTCCAGAACGAGAACTACCACCTTCAAGTAGAGTTACCGATGCATACACTCGCCCTCCCAGTTTCCGCCGAGCTCAGGAAGGCAAGCGCAGATCCATCGATTCTGCTCAACTGCTTGGAAGTATAGATGATGTTCATATCGACGACCCCGTTTTCATTCTCCGCCGAGCAATCTCATATCGAACATCATCGTCTCGTCACCGTATGTCCGCACCCCTTGATGAAATCGCTCTTCAACATTTCCGTGATTCGGTTTCTGGCTCTAGTCTCAGCTCTGACAATCAGACTTCGGGTACCGAAGAAGTTAAACCGAGGCAGCTGTCAAGACAAGAGATCATTGCAGCACAGCGTGCCGCATCGCGAGCGAATCAAAAGGCTATTCTTTCGGCTCAGATGAACTCTCTTCGTGGTGTAGATGTTCTTCTTCCCGGAAACGCCATGATCCGCAGCTCCAGGTATAACTCTGGAGACAAAATGCGCTATTCATATGTGCAAGACGGCGAGTCGTTTGATATCAGTGACATTGTCGAGCAAGAGTTTTGCGAAGGCAACTCGGCGCAAAAGAACGACTTGTTAGAAGGCGTCCTCGGGCGCAATAAAGAAGGCATGAACGAAAAGATTGATCGCGTACTGAACAAAATCAAAGAGGGGCGAGTTCACGCTCAATACGTGGTAGCGGCTCCAATTCAGTCGGACAATCCTCCCTCTGCTGGCTCTGCACCCTCAGAGTACTCCGTCGATGACGCCGTAACTGCCCGTTCTGGTTCTGACGGCAGGACTCCCACACCGCTTGCGAGTAGTGTCACTGGGGCTCGACGCGTTGCATCACCAGTGTCCGACACATCTCGGACACCGACACCTACCGCAACAGATGGCCGACACAGCCGCACCCGATCCACCACCCCATCATCAAAACAAGGAACAAATACTTCTCGCCCTCTTCGTCAATCGTCGATCGCTTCTGTCATGTCAGAAGTATCGATGTACGCCACCCCCACTGGACAGCTCATCAGCCCCCCTGAAACGCCACGTACCGACAACGCCGCCAAACCGCCAGTCTCCAAGCGACCGTATATTCCCAAAGATGACTTCGGTCTCTCGCATATGATGGCGATCATTGAAATTGCTGGTTCGGCACCCAAGGTTCCTCAAACCTCTATACACCCAGTGGACGAGTCGCTGTTCGGGAAACCAATAGATGTGACAACTCTCCACCCGGACATTCAAGAGATATACGCTGGTGCTTTCCAGCAACTCGATGAGATGGATAAGGTAGGAGATTCGTTGCTAGTCGCACAGAATGTTTCGTGCTGATACACTTTGATAGACATTAGATGAATACCTTCAATACGTCATTAGCGCTCGTTAATGATTAATATTTTTTGGCTGTTGATGTATATATTTGCGATTCAATATTTATTCGTTCTCATCGCAGCTGCATGTATTGACTCTTCCATCTCCGTTGGTGTTAGGCTTCCTGAGTCTTCTAGTAAGTAGAATGATGGGAACATAAGCGGGACAGCAACCAAAAAAATCAACTTGTAGAGAAGGATGGTCACTGTTCTAATATTTCAGACTCGTCTTTATCATTGGGTACCGTGCATTATACGTGCGTCGACCTACTCGTATAGATCATAGCAAAGTCTGGTGCCCCACTCCCCTAAGATATTACTAACTGCCAAGCTCCTCGTCATTTACGTATAACGGACTGCATTTGATATCTCTGTTCGAGATGCAGACGAAATCCTTGTAATATTGACGGTGCCCCAGATTTACCGGGAGGCTCTAACATGCACGACCGACTGGGGTGTGTCAAGATGATTCAATCTGTTTGCTGCGATAGAGCCCCAAATGATTTAAGCACGCGTCGGTGGTCTTACACCACTAATGAACTCTGCAGGTTATGGTTACATGCAGAAAAAGATAATTAGATAACCACGAACTTTGTGTCATTCGCCCATGACAACATCCACTTCATTCATGTCTGTCCCGCTGGCGGACGCAGATGACGTAAAAATGTCTGCCCCAGCTGCGAGCGAATCAATAAGCAGTGCTAGCTTGGAGGGTCCCAAATTTGGCTCCTGCAAGAGTCATTTATAAGAATTAAATCATATCTGAAACAAACACTTGCTGGCCTTTCGTATTTCCTCAAGGTCTTCCTTGAATCCTTCCGCAAGGGATGACATCCAAAACTTCCTGAATTTGTCTTCATGGCCTGTTCACGCGCCTCATAATCCGCAGACGTATTTGGCGGTAGAAAAGATGGTATTTCCGCACTGGGCAGGGAGGGTGAAGGTGACCTTGGTCGAGGAGCATCTTTTTCATGAGGAACTTTGAGACCGTCGGTTTGCATTTTTTCCTTTACCATGGATTGCACCAGCATCGTCACTATCTGATTCGGAGTCGCTATCCGAGGATGCAGATTCAGATGGAGAACTCGTGTCGGATTCAGGTTGTTTGGTTGGGAGAGGTGCCACTTTTTGAGGTGTGGATTGCGTAGATTCATCTGAGGATGAATCATCAGATGAAGACGAAAGGCCGGAGGATACGGCGCGTCTTTTTGCGTTTTCTGTTCCTCCTGCGAGCAGCAGGTTTTGGTGCTGGCGGGCCCATCTGTCGAACTTGAGCTTGAAGCTTGAAGGATCAATAAATTTCAGCATGCCGCATATGTACTATGTACTTACAAAATTGCGATTACATAATATTGATCATCATCTTTGCAGATCTTCAATTCACTCTTTACGACCGCACGATCTACGCGAATCAACTTTAAAAACAATGAGTGGCAAGGTCGTCGGGTTCTTGGTGCGCGTGAGCTCACAGCGTTGAATTTTTCTCGATTTAAAGCGCTCATGATATCTGCCAGGTGTGTCTCTACCTTCTTATCGTTTCCTCTGATTTGCTTGCTCCAGGTGGAGGTCAGCTCGGGCGAATGCTGGCCGCTTCGGCGGCTCTGCTCAAACGGTCGATATAGTATTCCTCGACGTCGGAGAAATGGTCCAGCAAAACAGATCGTCTCCCCGCGATCTCCCTTTCTTGCTCATATCGATGGATCATTCGTAGACCCAGAAAAATCAAGGCGCTGGCCAAAAAGGTCGACATCCTAACTGTTGAGATCGAGCACGTCGATACGGGCGTACTTGAAGAGATTCAGTCAGTCCTCGGAGCTGTTATCCATCCCAGTCCGTCTACGGTGAAGACTATTCAAGACAATTCATACAGAAACAGCACCTCCAGAGTCACCAATGTCCCGTGTCAGAGTTTTCTCGGTGTCGAATCCAATGTAATATCAATACAGCAACCGCGGAAAATCTTGGTTTGCCATTTATGCTCAAAAGTCGCACTTTGGCGTATGACGGACGGGGTAATTTTGTTATTCGGGATATTGCTCAAGCTGAAGAGGCCATTTCTGCTCTTGGGCATCGTCCCTTGTATGCCGAGAAATGGGTGTCGTTCGTGAAGGAAATCGCTGTCATAGTCGTGCGCTCCACAACAGGGGAGGTTCGCTCATACCCTGCTGTGGAGACCGTTCACAAAGACAATATTTGTCACTTGGTTTTTGCCCCCCTACGGAGTCGCGATCCACATGTCGCTATTCGCGCACAGAGTGTAGCCGAAGCCGCAGTCAAGACCTTCCAGGGCGCTGGTATCTTTGGAGTCGAAATGTTCCTCATGGAAGACGGTAGAAGATAGTTTCTCCTGGATTGTGTGAACCAGCCTAACACACGGATTCTGGTCAGGCTCTATCTACATCAACGAAATTGCCCCCCGGCCACATAATTCTGGACATTATACCATAGAAGCTTGCGAAACCTCCCAGTACGAAAATCATCTGCGCGCCATACTCTCACTCCCGCTTGGCTCTACGTCACTAAAGGTGTCTTCAGCTGCAATGCTGAATATCATTGGCGCTTCATCTAACATGGCAGAAGTCACGAATTTCGCATCTGAATGTATCAAGACAGATGGCTGTATAGTTCATCTGTATGGCAATCGGAGTGTCGCAAAGGACGCAAAATGGGACACGTCACCATCGTGGGCAACTCAGATTCAGAGGTCCGCTCTCGCCTGCGACCACTGTTAAAGGCATTGCCATCAGGAAGTACCGAAGAAGAGCTCGCTCTATACGCCCCAGAGACCCCCGCACAAGGCAGCGGCTTTTCCCACAAATACCCGCTCGTTGGTGTGATCATGGGCTCCGATTCCGACCTTCCCGTAATGCTGCCGGCTGCTCGCATTCTGGATCGGTTTAAGATCCCCTATGAACTCACCATTGTCTCCGCACATCGCACGCCAGATCGCCTTGTTGAATACGCAAGGTCAGCGAGCTCAAGGGGTTTGAGGACGATCATTGCTGGAGCAGGTGGTGCAGCACATCTTCCTGGCATGTTTGCTGCCATGACCGCGCTTCCTGTCATTGGAGTTCCTGTAAAAGGTAGCTCGCTCGATGGTGTTGATTCGTTGCATAGTATCGTGCAAATGCCGGTGAGTTAGGGTCTTTGTTCCCCATGCGATTCGTTGATGTCTGAGTGTCACTACAGCGAGGCATACCCGTAGCAACGGTTGCAATCAACGGGGTATGAATGCTGGATTGCTAGCTGTGCGGATTCTTGGGGTTGGTATACCTCATTTGTTTGCAGATATCGATGCGTATCTAAGAGGATTAGAGGGCGAGGTCATCGCAAAGGTCGAGAAGCTGGGAAGAAGTTGGCTGGGAGAAGTACGAGGTGAAGCGGTAATGGTGAAGATCTACACGCCTGTTCGGAAGACAGTTGTTCTGTGGTACGTATACGTGCATACGCTGCATTATCATTGAAGGATCGTAAATTATATTGTACTATGTGCCTCCAACTTCTACTCTCTAATAGCGGATGTCGAATTCACTGTTGGCAGTGGTGCAAGCAAATCTGCTCAGTAAGTTGTCACACAGGTAAGACACTGAGTCCTAATTTCAATTGAGAACTGAAATTCGTTTCAAATAATTATTTCGCTTTCAACCTCTTCATTCCTGCCCGAAGCCAGGGGCATCGGTACCAGCACTAGCAAAGCCGACCTGGCTGCTCATTTGATGCTCTTGCGGTACATTGCGAGGCGAGTATCGGGGCACCCCAACCCCACGATTAAATAGTTGGCAGAGAAAGACAAAACCTAGAGCAACGTGGTATTATCTACATACTTATAACGTTATATTTCCGAACAAACACAAGAAATGTCGTGGATGGTTATGTATATTCACACCTGTGCGTTTTCTTCTGCATCATCAAGCTGGACTTGAACTAAACCAGCATCCATCGCCATAGAGCGGAAAATAGAACCTTTGTCCTCCAGCAACTTCTTTGGCGTATCAAATTCCGCAATCTATATTTCCCAATCAACAACTCATCATGAATGAACGCGATTGGAGGTTTCTTACCCTTCCAGCATCTAGAACTAGAACCCTATCAGACTCCATGATCGTGTTTAAGCGGTGCCTACAGGTTCATCATTAGCACTAGTTATCGATGATGGACATGACATACGCAATGGTTAGAATAGTCACATCGCGGAAGATTGGACCTCGGATAATTTCTTGAATCGCTCGGTCGGTATCTAGATCAACTGCAGATGTTGCTACACCATCATGCACATTAGCCTTGCGGAAGAATAAGACATCGCTCATACATACCTTCGTCGAGGA